AGGAGCATTCATCAGATGATGGTAAATGTATACTACCAAACAGTCCTTGAAGACACGACATCAGTTTGTGATCTGACAAAATTTTCTTTCCTTTTCACATTTAAAAGAAATCATAAGATCTTTAATCAACAGTGTTATAGTTAAGCTGCAAAGGAAAGTAAGGACTCACTCGTGAACCCATCTTGTAACTAAATCATTAACTAAGATGAGCAAGAAAAGGCCCAGGGCAAAATGTGAGAGCTGACTGCCTATCAGATAAGCTGGAATTCAAATGTTTTTTTAAGCCCTGCAGTCTGCTTTAGCATCCTTATTTTTTTTTTCTTTTTTTTTTTTGAAAAATTTAGACCCCTTTAAGGACAAGATTGCACAAAAATCACATTTAACATTCATGACAAAGAGACCAAACAACAATAATAGGTAGTCAAAGGGCATGTCTCTGTACAGGCCATATCAAAAGTGCCTTCCACACCCATTCCCCCTCACACTTCCCATCCTGAGTGGTTTTAATACTTACAGCAGTTGTGTATGGGCCATATAGAAAAGTGCCTGCCACACCTTCTACCCCTCTATGCTGTTTGCCATCCTGAATGATTATAATACTTACATGTATGGCAGTTGTGTACATGTATGTGCCATACAGAAAAGAGCAGTTGTGGCAGTTGTGTCACTTATTAACCCATTAAGCCCCAATATCCACATACAAATTCTCCAAACTGATCTCCATACATTTCCTTTAAGAATTAGTTGAGAGAATTTAATAAAACATCAAAGCATTTTCTCTTCTGTGATCATTTTTTATATTCTCACAACTTTACCTCTTGACAATGTATGGATATTGTTAGGAGAAAATTGTTGTTGGTCACCATGGGGACTAAAAGGGGTTAAGTGACACACTAATTATCATGCATATAACAAACAGTAGTACCTTGGTGTCCACCACCTTTCTTGGCTAAGCTCAGGTATTCTGTAGGCTTCCCTCCTGCGGCGCTTATACTATCATTATTGTTCAAGGTGTCAGTAATATCCAAGGACAAGTCTAAAAAAGTGAACCAAAAACATTAGTTTAGCAGGTCAGGACAGACTAGTTTTATTTACTGAGTCCTTTAATGTACATCAGATGGTAGAGTTGCTACACGTCAACCTCTCATAAGCACTTCAATTAAATGAAGTCGCATAGAAACCGAGCGAGCAACAAAGTCTCAACATCGACTTGTTTTACCTGAATGGACTTAAATGATATTATAAATTCACATGGGAAAAAATGATTGACATATGCTATGTCAAGAGTGGCGTGAAATGTCACTCACTCTCCTATTGGTCAATAATTTGTCATGACATTGCCAGAGGAATTTTCCACCAGTGAATTTTACACCAAACAGGTAAAAAATGTCCCCTAAAATGGGATAACCAACCAGGACTTTTAGAAAGTCTAGTCAGATGGCCGGCAGACAGTAAAATGTCTGCAGCAAAGACATTAAGCCACACAGTTGTTAATACATTATAAAACAACAGTGTTAATGCTTTACATAATTACAGGCACGTCATTCAACTGTACTACCGGTACCTTTTCTTGATTGTGTCTCCTTAACATCTACTCCATCATGAGTGTACCACTGTCCATCTGTCTTGTCATATGTCACTGGCTCAGGGGTAGGTGTGTGGGGTGTGACAGTCAGTAGATCTAACAAGAAATAAATTAGAGTAACTATGCATCTAGGCAGGTGCAAGTCCAGACTCATACATTATAGTGTACACTAGGAGTTGCAATTTTTTAGATTAATCCATTAAGCCCCAATATCCACATACAAATTCTCCAAACTGATCTCCAAACATTTTCCTAAAGAATTAGTTGAGAGAATTTGCTAAAAGATCAAAGATATTTCTCTTTGAGATCATTTTATTAGTTCTTGTAGACTTTGCTCTTGACAATCTATGGATATTGTTAGGAGAAAATTGATTTTGGACTCTACTGGGGCGTAAAGGGTTAAGATTGAGGTGAAGACTCACCTTTACGTCCACCACCTTTCTTGGCAATCTTAAGGTAGTCTGTATCTAATTCTATGTCTACTGAAGAGTCTGCATTTGATGATCGCGGGCTCTTTGGTACAGTCACCATTTCTGAATTAAAGAAAAATAAAGCCAAAGTGTAAAAGAGATGGAAATAAAATCTATTCCAAGAACAAATCCAAAGCTAACAGTAGTTCCTATATAACTCATACTAGGGCTCTCATTAAGTGCTGCCAGCCAGCTGAAAAACCGCCTACTTGGGGGTTTGAGCCATCTACTTTTGGGGGAAAAATGATAAATTACCTACAGCACTCAATTACAGTGTACCAAGCCACCTACTTTTAAATTCCTAAGCTGTTTGCTTTAAAACTCAATGAGAACCCTCTACACATTTCAATGAACTTCCCTTTTCCCAGAATATATTTGTACCTTTCCGTTGCTGCGTGTCTTCAACATCCACTCCATCATGAGTGTACCACTGTCCATCTTTCTTGTCGTACTTCACTGGTTCTGGGGTGGGTGTATGGGGTTCTACCATCAACAGATCTGCAGGATGAGACAAAGAAAACAGAGAGCATTAATTTCTAAAATTATTATTATATGTTTACAGCAATCTTATAGACAAAACTACATGTAGTTCAATGCCTTACCAAAATGGACCATGAAATTAATGTCCTTACTAATGACTCCCACATGTGCAGGATTGTTTGCATGTATGTGCACAACTTAACTGTGTTCTTGATAAATGTTTACAAGGCTTTGCTCGAAGAAAAAATGGAGGGAGCCTTGTACTCTGAACCTGTGAACTCCAGGGTGCCTAGTGTATAATTCAGGGCTGTGCTCTAGCAGAGCCCGGTGGCCCCTCGGGCAACTAGAAAATCTCAGATTTTTCACACAAATCATATGCTGAGCACCCTAGATTTTCCAGTTGCAGAGCACTGGGCTCCCTTCAATTTTCCATAGAGCACAGCCTTGTGATTTTTGTGCCAACAAACAAGTCTTTCTAGTTGCCCGGAGGCAAAAAGAGGCGCCAGGAGACACCAGACACTGCTAAAGCACAGTCTTGGTTAATGAGTTTACCTTTATGCCCACCACCTTTCTTTGCCATTTTAAGGTAATTGGTATCCAATTCAACATCCACTGATGAGTCTTGATTGGATGACCGTGGAGTGTTGGGTACTGTCACCATTTCTAATACAAGAATCAAAAACATTAAAAACTTAAACTTGGAAGGCAAAGGTGTCTTTTTCAAATTTTTTTGTCTTTTTATGATTGTAGTGATGGGGATGCTTGTCGTACCTTTTAGGGGTTTAAATTTGTGGATTAGTACTGCCTATGGCACTAAAACCTAAAATTACTGCTGCCAGAGTCTGTTAAAAATAATACACTTTATTAGGATAAAGATTTATGACAATACTTTCAAAAAGTTCTTGAGAAGAAAGTTGTTGAACGTTATCATTATCACTATTAAAATTTGCAGTATAATTAGCAGTAAAATTTGCAGTACCTCTTAGGGTTGGAAATAAATTTGCAACACACCCATAAAACAAGATTCTGGTACTTTTCAGCGATGTTTTTGAAATTTTCCAACAAGTTCCAACGTCACTTTTATAGGCAAGTACCCCGCTTAATCCTCACCTCTAACTTTAAGTATTCAGTATTATGAAACAAATAATTCAAATGGAACATAACATGGTTAAGAATCCCAACTGGAAGGAGGCAAACCAGTTGGTTCTTTGACAAGTGTGGCCAAAGATTTGCACTCGGGACTACCGAGAACAAATCTAGATAGCGGTCAGGGCGGGCGTGAACTTCAAGGGCCTCTGAATTACACGTCCAGCACTCTGACCACTCGGCCAACCTTCCTTCTTTTAGACAAAACAACAAGAGAAGAATTTGGATTTTGATGTTACAGCTAGTGTGAACTGGAAGCCTGCCAGAAATGTTACAAAAGACTTACTGGTACCTTTTCTTTGTTGCGTATCTTGCACATCAACTCCATTGTGAGTATACCACTGCCCATCTTTCTTGTCATATTTCACAGGCTCAGTAGCGAGTGTGTTGGGTTCAATTTTCAACAGATCTGGACAATTGAAAAAAATCCAGTAATTACGCCTTTAAACTTAAGGCTTTTTTAATTCAAGACCTCTTATGACACTTTCCAAAAGTCAAAACTGGCCAGTCAGACCATGGCCGGACCAGACATTTTGGTAATGAAATAGGCTTTCTCCGAGAGATTTTGCTGAAAAACCATCTCCTTTGTACATATTATTTATGATTTGACTGATCTGGATGGTTTAAGTTTTAATTAAAAGTGAAAATGTCATAACAATGGGAATGGGCTGGCCGGTCAGTTCTGACAAATGGAAAACACCCTTAAATAACACGCCAATACTTGACAGAGGCTACGCATCATAATGCTCTTAGCCCACCAGCTGGTCCTACTGCAAAAGCCCCAGTGGTCTGGATTTTCCTAACATACATATATGTACCACAAACTGCCACTCATAAGCCCTGGACTTTTGTAAGGGGTTTAAGGATTGAGGGCTTATAAACAGAGGGGCTAGACAGATCTGATAGAGAGAAACCTTTATTAATGTGTCGCAGCTGTATAGCTTAGCAAAAACCCCATACTAAGTTTTGGACACAATTTATAATAATTATAAAAATTATCTGCAGCATAAACATAGTTCCAATTATTGGAATTATGTTTATGTTGCAGATAATTTTTGTTTTCAGTTAATTTTAATTTTGCCCTAGTTTATTTTTTTCTAACTAGGTTACTTCATTTTCCTAGTTGATTTTTTTTTTCTAACTAGGTTATTTTATTTTCCCTGGCCAGCTGATTTTTGCTAACCAGCTAATTTTGTTTTTTCTAGTAGTTTATTTTTTCCAACCAGGACCTTCACAACTCAGTGACGACACCATTATTTACATTTACCTGAATGTCCTCCACCTTTTCGAGCCATCTTGAGGTATTCTGTCTGCAACTCATGATTACTTGCTGGAGACGCTGGACTGACGGGAGAATCTACAAAACATAGTACAACAGGTGCTCCATGATTACAACCTTGAAGACACTTAAACTGTGTGTTCAACTGAGAAGTGAAAGTGTAAAATTTTGCTTTTGCCTTGGTTTACGTTTTCTTTTTTACAAGCCATGAAGAATGCACAGAAAAGTAAATTTACAAAATGTTATTTTTGTGTTTATAAATTATTAATTTATTACTGTTTAAGTTATTAAAAAAGCTGATGGCAAAATAGCTAAGGTGTTCCAAGTATTCAGTTAAAGGAGAGCAGTGCAGTGGAAGTGGAAAAGAAACTTTGATAACAGATTGTAGAGAGTGGAAGGACAAAGAAAAACACATGGCATATTTACTTCATGTTTTTAATTATCCATGCCAAAACAGTAAAAACAGATAACAGGGTAGAGAAGCCATTCTGAGCATTCAGATACACGTACAGTCTGTAGGGGGGTGCAGTGCACACATTTGGCAGAGAAAGGGTTAATAATAAACTTACCAGTAGTACGGTATCATTGGGGATCCGATTTGGATGATTATACGTTTCAGGGAGTCTGCCCACCTACCCCTCCCCTAAGCCAATATTTTGCCCTAAGTGAGAAGTAAGTGTTATTGTTGGCTTAGGGGAGGGGTAGGTGGGTAGTTTCCCAGAAACGTACAATGATCTTATATGCATTGTAGACAAATGGTGTTAGAAACCAACCTGTGTAGCCATTGTTTATGTACAAATCTTCACTTCCTCCATTTGTGTATGGGGCAAAATCTTCCTCCTCTGCAGAAAAGTCTAAAGCTAAAGGTGTCGGCAGACGTGAATCCCAGGACTCATCCAAGGAAGAAGAATGCCAGTCTGAAACCAATAACAATACTAATTTACATATTGTTATTTCATTATTTTTCAGAACGAGAATTGTATTCCAGATATTCCAAATCTTTGCCTCATAATAAATTAATGTTGAATAAAACTAGTTTCGACTTTTTCCATTAGTCTTCAGGGTAAAAATATCAAATCCTAGAACCAACAAGACAATCCAAGCATTTTCCAAAAGCAGAATCTTTAAAAATATATAATATTCCATGAGCTCCATTTTATTTAATTTTCATAAGTTCAATTACCAATTATTCAACACTAAAAAAGTGCAGTGTACATGTATTCACTCAACTTTCCCACATCAACCGCTATAAATAAGTCACACAGAAGAAAACATTTTTCATTCCAGCATTATGATTTGCCAGTGCTAATTGGATTAAATTCTGGAATGGATAAACCACTCTCTTTGGGAGCATAAACAGCGTTCTTTTCATCTTTTGAAACTGCTGCATTCACTCAAAGACTTAACAGTGGCCTTGACAATGACTGGTAGCATTCACATGACGGGCTCCATTGGAAACAGTTGCATAGCAAAGAAAAAACACTGCGAACAGGTTCCCCACAACCCAAAACACCTCCATATCATTAACAACACACTAACTAGCCAACAAGCAAGTAGACAACTCTGCCAAATTTAGGCTTCTATTGCTAGAAAAACTTGCTTTTCCCTCATAATAAATGACTGGTAATTCAAGTAACTCTAGGTGTTAAAAGAAATTTTAATAAAAATGCTGGAAAGTATTGTCTCCCTTGGTGTTAGCAAACCATTATAATATTTCACACATCATAAAAAATGCATACAAGTTATTTATGAGGAGAGATCTTGATGTTTTTTGCCTTTGGCTTAAAAATAAGTAAGTAGCCTCAGATGAAGGTAAACAGGAAGTAATTGACAGCAGCTGCAATTTAGGTAAAAAGTTCTTGAAAATAAAGGATTCAAAAATTAAATCCATCTGAATAAACATCAACCCACCATCAAAATAAAAAATTCACCTCAGGGTAGGAGCATGAACTTATACATGTCTGCCAAGGTATAACAGTGACCTTGACGACAATAGTGGCCATGAAATAATTATCATATACAGAAAATAATGTTGTATTTTCCCACGGTATTCCGAACTTAAAAAAAAGTAATTTTAAGATAAAAGAATTTTCCATGCATGGAAATATGTTAATAAATTGCTGTAGGGTTTTCTCTCACGGTGGGCAACGAGACCATTGCTGTATACAGATCATTAAAGATGTATATGAATTCCTTAATATAGAGCTATTGTCTCGCAGGACTAGGACATTGCTTATTCCTATTGGAATCAATAGGGCTGAAAATGAAGTGATGGGATACAACTGTGAAAGCTACCTGGTTGTGGTTATAACAACGTGAACACTGACAGCCCGATAGCTCAATGAAATCAGTTTCTATTTTTCACTCACGTTTTCATCATTTTGTTTTTCTTTTCTGTCTCTGTATGCATATTGAATTTATTACAGGATGGTGAGAGGCCGGCCATAAAAATAATTGAAATACAAAATCACAACTTACTTTTATGAGGCGATTCATGAAAAGCAAATGACATTGAGCGTGGAACTAAAAGGAACCGTCATTTTAAGTAAGAAATTAAAACATTTCTCGTGGTCAAACAATCAGCCTGAATTAATGTCTTTTTTTTCTATCATAGGGGGTAAGGGAGGGCTAGCTAAAATTACAGCCTACTGCATGCTAAGAAAAGTAGATAAGAATATTTCCAGTGCATAAAAAAAGAAAAATATATTATTTTATCCTCTGTCTTTTTATAATATCTAATTCGAGATATTCAAAACAAAGTATAATGAAATTTTGCAGAAACGATAGGCAGAATTAAGTTAATATACATTGGTTAATTTTGAGGTTACAGGTGGATATTTACCCCTATGGCTAAAAACAAGTTAACTATGTAGGCTTTTTCCACTAAAATTTTAAGCAGATTTTATATGAGAAACGATTTATGGAATCATATAAGCTTAACTGATAAGATCTTGTTTTGATAACAGTCGGTACATTACATTCTTTGCATTAGCATTTTGTTTATGGCGAAAGGTTCACAGATCTTTGTGTTAGTAGATTTGACATTCCTTACATAGTCCACGGTATTTGAGTCGAGTACAAACTATTACTTGAGCCTTCTTAAACACAGTAAACAAATTTAGCAAGACAAAAGAACGGCTTTGCATAATTCAAGATCAGTAAGTCTTGTTCGAACCAAACAATAAGGACACATTTCTGGAAGTTATTAGGCAATATGGTGACCTTTGTCAAAAAAAATAGAGACGCTGATCCCTTGGGACTTGAACCAACACGAAAGGTTATTGCACACGAGATGCTAAACGATCTTGTCAATCGCTCGTTCGAAGACAGAAAAAGTCGAATTTAGAGAGCGAGCGATAGAAACTGTTTCAAATCCGAGCGAAGCTTAATGGAACACCCACCGAGATTCTAAAGTGCAGGTTCCGTCCTCAGCCAACGAATAGCAAATTAACATCTATCATCACGCATTTAAAACTGAAGAAAAACTTCTACGCTAACGAAAACAAACACTCCGATAGGAAAACAGAGAAATTATAAATTTCCTGAGGCCACTGCCATGCAAACTCCTCCTCATCCTGTTTATTCTCAAATAACTTAAGCTGAAAAGCCACGAGCAAACACTGAAGAGGATTAAAACGAGCATGGACCAAAATGAAATTTCGCCTCGCGTAATTCACTTTCGTATTGTTTTGTTCGGTGGTTTTAAACAATGTCTAAGGAAAGTAATTTTGGATATTTTTGCTAAATGGCTTTGTTTACTAGCCCCTCTTAAAACAAACCATCCGCTGTCACTATATTGGATTATTATAAGTGCAAGTTTTGTGAGGGCAGCGGGAAATAGGTCGAGACATTCCACGCACATAAAATTTCCCGTGTGTGAGAAGAGGGTCGATTTCTCGATTACCCCTACACGAAGTACATGAATTCTTGACACCGTAGAAATAAAAGAATAAGTCATAAGAATAGTCACTTAAACAAGAATTCTATCGATAATGTAACCTAAACAGCTCGGTAAAGTTTAGAATGAATTATTTACGTTCGAGAAAACCACTCTCGCCTCTCCGGTTTCGCAGCCGTGGCGTTCAAGTGAAGTACCGTATAATTTTTGTGGCAAAACTTGCCGCTCATTTAAGCAAGAAGATTTAAAAATCATCAATGACAAATGCGAAATTAAAATAAACAACAAAAGACGCGGATTCAGTCGTGTCAAAAATGCGCTTGGGAATGAAGTTGTGTCATAGCATAATGAAAGCTCGAAGGTTTCACGCTTGTCGCGCGACCGCTATTTAAATTAACCCACAGAGACTCCACAAACTAATTACGGTACCCTAACAAACAGAGATAAAACTTACCATCTGAAGATTGATTTTGAGGAGAAAGAACCTCCATTTTCCGTGCTACGAGGGCGCTTGACTTGAAAGCCCAACACTAGTTTCCTGCAGCGAAACGGAATTATATTCTGTTTTCTTGTTCTGCAACACGCGCTAAAGCCAGTGACAACCGCGTGGGGACTGGACAAGGACAAAAGTAAAAACTTTAGGGGTACATGGACAGGACAATTTGTTCTTCCGTTTAACATTTAGATTTTTCATTAAACTGACTTAAACAGAAATACTCTAATAATAATCACTCAATAAAAATATTTTTTGAGAATAATTTAAGCTATTTGATTTAATTTAATCATTCTTATGCGTCGCACAGTTTCTTGTTGTAAACCTACCCCTGGAAAGTGTGTTTCCGCCTCTGTTTGATAATTCCTGTTTTCACCAATGACAATATGGCGCGGAATTCGACTGAACAATTGAAGGTTGATGATCTAATGAGTTGTGTGCTTAGCCTCTGCTATCTTTAATCTCGTGATGGTTTACTTGGCCATTGTGAAATTAGCACGTCGCACAACTCAGTTTAAAAGCCCATGAAAAATAAGTCTAATTTATATTCAGTGTTAGACGAAACACTCGCGAAAGCGAGACTCGTTTACACCATGAATCCAATATTTCTTTTATGCTGAAAAACATCATTTGAGAGAACAATCAAAAATTCGTCATTAAACAAAAGACATGTCGAAACAATACGACTCCCACGTCGCTTATGCACTCTTTGTCAGCGATATTTTTAAAAAGTGATAATAGCCTTTTAAAACAATTTTTCACGAGAATATTTTTAACATATTTTTTTTGCTAGCACGGAAATATTTAACTTTAGTTTTAATGGCAGCCTGAACGCCAAAAAATTCTTGGCACTTCTTTAATTAGATTTCATTGAAAACTGTTTATACTTTTTTCATGAGAAAAATTCGTGTTTTCATATTAAACACAAAAAACGACTCGTCTAGTTTAATTTGTCTCTCTTGTGTGACAGTACATGATTTATTGCTGGGTGGACAATATTTCAAGATGCTTTCAATAAAATATTATCGCCAAGGGTAGAAACCGTAATATTTTGAGAGGTGGGTCGATCGCTCTCGCTCAAGATTAAGTCATGAACGTATGAAGTAATGACCAAATCGACGGTCAATCAAACAGCTATTTGAAACAGTTTTCCATATTCATATCCACTCCGTAATAACATGTTTTAAATACAACATGGGGGATCAACGTAAACAAAACTATCGCTCAGCAATCTGAAGGAAAACTGAGAAAAATATGAGCTATGCACTACTTGGCTCGCCATGAAAGAAAGCTTGGGAAGTTCGAAGTTAACGAAAAACCAGAAAAACAGCACAGTGACCAAAATTGTGGTTGCGTCATTAGCGAACGTGACATGGGAGCGGCGAGATATGGACCGGTTATAGACAGATCAGAAATTATTGAAGCATCAATATTGCAAACAAGATGCATGGATCACCAAGGATGACTAGAAACTGTGAAGAAATAACTTGTCCAAACTATATATGCCTTTGCGACTGTTTAAATTCAATAATACTGGCTCTCACTTCGTAAAAAAAGGTAAATAAAAATAGAGATGTGACTTTTTCGCTCTACCAACGCCGTGTGACTTCCGATCTCGTATTCCTTTACACCCCGGAGAACGGAACTGGCAAATTAAGAGACCAACTCGAGTGTGAATATCGTCTTCCGAAGCGTTTAAAAGCATTCATGGTTCAACTGAGATGGCCAGTGACTTTGAATTAAAAACCTGTTATAGGCTGTGAACCGTATAACAAGAATCGCCTCTAACCCAGCCAAACAGAACGAGACCGGCTAACAGAAAAACGAAAACAAAATTAAAACTCGGAGTTGACAAAAGATGACGAGATCGGTTCGTAATTTACACTTTCCTTTGAACCGACTCGTTTTAAAGAAATTAATTTGCAAAGCTATTATTTCGTCAAGGATATGACGCTGATTTCTCTTGACGGAGTAGGCGTGGTCGCCGAGGGCAGTTAGCACGCGGGAGACTCAGAAGAGAGCCAATTTACATATTTCATGACAAAGACTAAATGCACAGCAGAATAATGTTTTTGAAGTTTCTAGCTATCAAAATCGAAAGCTGAACATTATAGATATTACCTCGTTTCCTTGGATTTTTTCACGCTAGCTTTGTGTTAACGAAATCGTCGCTGAAGGCACGGACGCGGACCAGAATGAAACGGTGGCCACTAATTCGCTGATGCGTGTTGCGAGGGCTTGATACCGTTTCACATCCAACGCTCAACTGACTTTGTAGTAAAAACAATTAAGGAAATTTAACGTTGTTACCAGGGAAACTGCGCAGTTAGCAATCAAGTTGATCACTAAGACTAAGAATCGCACTGTGAAAGAAGCAAACCGTTCGCTCCTAAAACAAGGTGTTTTTGGAGCAAAGACAACACATATGCAAAGTACAATAGAAAAGAAAAAAAAACAAAGACCTTGAGGAAGTATTGTTTTGATGATTTTGCCATTTAAGGCACGAATTTGAAGCGTGATATTCACTTTCAAAAAGGACCAATTCCATGTTGTGCAGTAATATGAGTGTCTGGGTCTGGGGGTAACTATATCAGCGCTACACGATCCATGTCATCCTGTTTGTGTAAATAAATAATCGTTGATAGCGCGAAGTCTATAATAGTAGCAGCTGTTACTTGGTGCGACGAAGCAAGGCAGCTGCTTTATAGAGCAAGGTATAGTAATTATTCGTCTCCATCCTTTCCTCTTAAAACCCTTTCACAGGCGACCAGAATCGGATTTTTATTTACCATCTTAATGCATGGTATCTACAGGAAAACAAACGAAAAAGGTTCTTGGTAGTTTGCCAGTCTCGATAAATTCATTTTAAGACACTCGAAGTTCTTTTGTCTTATTTTCCGTCCATTAACCAAAAAATGAAAACAAATGTGGAAAGATCAAGGGCCGAATTTTTTTTCCCTCTATTATCATTAAGATAATCTGCTATTTTTGGTTCAGCTGTCGCTGTTCAGTGCTCTTAGCCAATCATTATCCTTGCTCTATAACACTCAAGTTAGATACAAAACTAAAATAATCGTAAACCCCGCGTATATTTTTTGTAATTTACATGACTTACCTCGCGCGAGTGACACGCTCCCCGTCGACAAAAGTGTGACTGCAAGTGTAAAACCCAAAGGTTACGTTTATTTCGAAATCTACCTCGTCCGACTGTATTTGAAAATCAGGTGGTTTTTATTGCAGCAGTTGTAACTATAATTTTATTGCCAAACTGTTTTAATGTTTAAAATTGGCTAATTTGAGAGTATTTGTTTGACCCGGAGGAAACAGTTAAGCTCTTTAAAGCGGCTACATAATTCGAAGCGGCAAAAAATAGATAAATGCCGCGAGAATTAATCCTACGGTCTTCGAAAGAAGATTAAAAAGTCAGCAACTAATCTGAATCGCCTTTAGCAAGAATGGACAAGTATTTGTTCAGTTTTTTTCAGGATTTCCTGTATTAAGATTCTGAGGGAATATTATTAAGAAAGCAGCATAAATTCAAGACAATCACTGCGAAACTTAAACAATTTTCAGTTTCGCCAAAGATACAGCTAGGAAAATAGCCGAGTTTCCGAAACGATAATTAAAGCCTTGTTTTTAGAAACTGATATCCATCTATGTCAAGAATCGCGAATGTTTTGCTTTTAAAATAGACAGACAGGCATGAATCGATATTAAAAGCAGTGCTAATTTTCCATAAACAAAAACTGTTTAGACGCTTTAAATCGATTCACCAGTTGTAGGTTTTGAATAAAAAAAAACTATTTCAGTTCATGATGATAAATCATCTGATACAAATGAAGTGTCTAGAGGTAAGATCAAACCAGACAAACTGCGCTCCGGACAGTGCAATTTTCTAATTAATTAAAGTTAAAGTAAGGTGGACAATGTCCAACAAACTAAATAAGAAGAATTATATAACAAAGTAACACCTAAATTTTAATTACATGAAAAGTTTTGCAAAGTTTCATAAGAGAGAATAATTTATACATGCAACGTTCTAAGGCATCGGCAGATTATCGGTAATCTAAGAATAGAAACTTTTCAAAGTTTGAAAAGCCCCTGTTATAGTACTGCTTGAAAATCCAACGAGGAGAAAAAATATAATCTTTTTGCTCAGACCACGAGCGTACGTGTCTCGACAATTGTTAAATGGACGCGTGCCGGAGGAACAAAAGAAATATTTTTACTAAATCAGACTGTTAATTACTTCGTCACCTTGTATATTGACTGCTATTTCAGCTTAACATAATTAATCAGAACTTTACGAACAATGCGGTGGAAAACAAAATTGTCGGCAAAACGTGTTAAATAGAAACAAAGACTGAACAATGTACATTAGTACTGACCCTAGGTGGTTTTTCTTTCTTTCAATTCTTTTCCCGAGCGTGTTCCTTTTAGCTTCTGGACTGCATCACTGTCGAAGTATCCTTTGCAGTAAGACTGGTTTTCATTTGTCAGAAGTCATTTCGTGCCAAATGTTTCGTTTTGTTTAGTTTTACTGCACTACGCCTGGTGATTGGCTAAAAGATCTCGGGCCACATTCTCGACCAATCAAAAAATAAAACCAATAAGACTTGGTATATGTGTTTTCCCGCGCTTAACGCCGGTTACATGTCTTTGCCTCGTCATCTGATTGGTGATTTGATAATTAGCTCGTGTGTGATTGGTCAGGGTAACTAGTTAGGTAATAACTTCAAAACCGCTCTAAAACATGGCAGTGTTTGACTACTGTCACAACTTAGGAGGTACTGCTGAAATTTCAAGTTCCTTCAATCTTAAGGGAGATGACCTTGTTAGCGCCTGACTTTCGAAACATTTTTCAACAATTTAGGTCAGCAAGTCAGCAAGTCAGTCTCAGGCCGGTGGGCCTGATATCATGCTTTGTAAAGCTGAGCTCCTGAGTTTCTTGTCATTTCTTCTTGAATTTTCAAAAGCAGCTCCTACATAGCGCTATTTGCCCTTCTCTGTAATGTCTGCAAGGGCAGAATCTCCTGTAGTTTGGATCATGACCAGTGCAACTGTATAGTAAAGGCTGTTTTTGGTACACACATCTTGAGGTGGATTCTTCAGTGGCAGGAGCCGTAACGCTCTCTTCAGATACAACTTCTGTACAACTGGGTACGCTACTGGAAGAAAAATAAAGCAGTGATTTTGTTACCTCTGCGTCCTGCGTCCCTGACGCATAAAAATCCCCAAAGACGCAAAATAATTCATGGTATGCTCTCCTTGGGACGCAAAGAACGATCGATAGATTTGAAGATTTTTTGGTAGAATATTCTTGTGGCTGTTGTTTAAAGATGCCTATTTATTTTAGTATTTTTTGTGCTTAAAATATATAGAAGGATTATGTTTTAATTTCAGTAAACAGTAATTAAGAGTTTTGGCGTCTGCCTCCAGATTAACTGTCTGGTTACATAAAGGCCCAAGCATGACTCCTTGTTTTTTTTTGAACTGGGACTCATTGGTTATGGACTGGAACTCATGATTTTTCACAAGATGAGGCCTAGGACACACCATAACTATTTGTCACAAAATCACTGATAAAGCTCAGTTTCTTGTGCCAAGGTTAAGTCGGAATGTAAGCATTCGCTATCTAAAACTGATCTAACGTTATGAAGGCTGTGCTGAAAAGGCATATTAGAGAGCTTAAGCGAAGACGTTTTTGAACAACACAAGTCAACGGTAAGTGGGCGCTTTTTGCCGACATTCTTGGGAAAGTGCTATCCCCAAATCTTTAGACGATCGCGAAAGCAAAGACATTTGACAACACTCATTTGGTAGCCTACGAGCAAGCTCTCCTATTTGGCGAGCGAAGCAAGCCTCGCGAGAACGCGCAAGCGAGGGGGCTTCCCCGCTCGCTCGCGCGTTCTCGCGAGACTCGCTTCGCTCGCCCAAATAGGAGAGCTTGCCCGCAGGCTAATTATGCCTTTAAAAAGCCAAAATACCTCATTTCCGGTTGACGAGCGTCGCTCAAAAACCGCGTCTTTGCTTAAGCTCCCTATTGTCCCAGTTTATTCTATTCCTACGCAATCTCATAATAGCAAATAAAAGAAGTACAGGCGTCCCAAAGACAGTCCCATAGTGCAATTCGACACAACACAGACCCAGTCTCACTCAGTTTGTTGCTTTCTTGAGGTAGTTTGAACAGCGGTGCAACATTGTTTTTAGGGAAGTGGGGAGGGAAAGCTTCATTTTGCCCTCAGTTTGAAGTTGGCAAAACGTCAGAAAGGCCTTTTAGGGTAAAGTGTATCAACTTATTGTTTGTAAGGCATTTTCCCACAGACCTGAAAACAAAAACGAAGTACAAGTTTACAAGTTTCTTGATGAAAGTTTTCAGTACCTGGAATTAAGGAGATGGAAGTACTCTGGCTCACACGTCAAACCTGCACAACAAATAGCAAGCACGTGTATTATTGAGTGGTCACTTAATACCATAGTAAATACAAATCTTTTTAGATAATTAAGACGGGCAAGGATTGTAGTAGGTGTGTATTGAAAAACAATTTCAGCCAACGCCCATTGGTAGCACGCACTTAAATCAACCATATGTTTCTTTTTTCTTTTTTTGTTTTCTCTTGCTCTTTATATCTCAAACGACTAAATGTTCTAACTTTTTGATACACCTTCCTCTTAAATTTATATCTTAACTTGCAACTTGCAACTTAAGTATTTTCCTTTTCTTGATATTCGATTAATTTTAGTGCTTAGCAGCACGTCTCAGTGAATTGACTAGTGATGGTGCAAGGCTTATGGTCATGGGTTAGCTGGATTGTTACGAAAGTAAACCACAATGTATTTTACCGTATTTATTCGAATAAGCGCCCAACCTCGAATTAGCGCCCACCTCGAATAAGCGCCCATCCTAAAGGCAGAAAAAGTTAATAAGCGCCCAGCCTCGAATAAGCGCCCACCCCCTCCTCCTCCCAATCAAACTCAAATAAGCGCTCACCCCCACCCCACCCACTTGAGTGAATAAATTCTAATAAGAGACTTCCCCGAGGACGGAGTTTTCTTCAGAGTATTTTGCAGAAACCTTGCTTTGTTACTTCTTCGCGTTTTGTTATAAGCATTCATTGTTTTGTTGCAAAATAAACATACTTCACTTGCTGAAAATGGTGAAAATTTAATAAGCGCCCTGCCTCGCATAAGCGCCCACCTCGAATAAGCACCCACTCTCAAGGTTCAAAAATTTAATAAGCGCCCAGGGCGGTTAATCGAATAAATACGGTATATTAGTCCCAGAAAGGCTCCAAAGTGAAGTGGGGCGAAAAAGCGTGGCCTGGAGGAGGCCTGGGGGCCTGAGTTTTCTCGCACCAGGCCACTCTCGGCTCGCTTGGCTCGTCGATTTTCTGTTTCGCCCCACTCCACTTGGGAGGCTGTTCGCAGGCTAATTCTAAATAGGCAGATACCTTCTTTAAAACACGCTTCAGTGCACGATGTTCCTGCACGCGCCATTGTGATGTTAAGTTCATCATTTTGAACTGGCCAGTGGTAAGACTTGTCACAGAAGTTCTAATTAACCAGGGAAGCAAAAAGACAGCAGTTTTCAAGTGTTGGGAGCAAGTAAAGGAAGAAAAAGTAATGCGCCAGAACTTTCCTAGTCCCTAGGCTTCATTCTTCCGCGCGGCCAAAGCGTTTCGGGTCACGTGATCTAAGCAAATGCCCGTTCGCCTTCGATACGTCACCGAAGTGAATTGACCGAGAGGGACTGGGAAAACGCCGTAGAGGAACTAGGCAACGCCAGAACATAAAACTTCTCTAGAAGTACTAGTAAAAAGATAACTGGAAAACACTCATCGGAAACGTGCGGAGTTCTTACGTCTTCTTACCTGGTTTTCGATGTAAGCGTTTAATCTCTCCAACATCCCCTCACAAGTAAATTCAAACGGGACATACGATATGACCTAAACCACAGAAAACAGTTTAGAATGTGACACGTTATAAAGTCGGTTATGATGGGGGTACTTACAAGAAAAGTAGATGCAGTGTTTCACCTTTTTCGTTAAAATTTCTTGAAGCGTTTGCGTCGCCTCCGTCTTATTCCAGATGTCAACTGTGTAAACAAAAGGTTTTCCAACAAATTTCTCTAGATAGGGATGCTGCGAACTTAACTGGGGAAAGAAAAAGATCAAAGTGATTTAAACTGAACGCAGGGTTATAGCAAGTACCTAGTAATTATCTAAATCAGTAGACGTCTCTATCGAAAAACGTGCCCAGGGAGAGTAGTCTCAGTGTGGTGGTACCCTACCCTCCCCCAAATTTTCTTCACGGGGGAGGGGGAGGGAGGGCAAGGCTACACTAAGCTATGGCGAGAGGCGGCCGGCTGTATTCACAAACCAATTCACAGTAAGTAGGAAATCGACTAAATACTTACGTTTCTTGATGACGGTAGATCTTTAAGCGCTTTGCAATTGATCCGATTTTTAGGACGCTTAAACTGAAAGAATCGAATAAAACTGTTCAGAGATAGATCAAAACAGAATAAAGCGAGGAACAAAACTTGACAAAAGGTAATAAATATTAAGGCATTTCAATTTTCTTCTCACGTGATATTCTATCAGAGGAAATCATTCAAATAAACTCAGGTACTGTAACCAAATACAGTAGCTTCTAAAGACTTCTTTAACCTATTACAAGCGTTTAGGTATTGGAGAACAGACTACCCCACCCCTCATTGCTTTTTCTTGCTCTCTTTTCTTTGCGCCGCTAACACTATCTTAACGTCCGGAACAGTATATTTCAATTAACATTTCTTATGTATTTTTTTTAAAGCATTTTCATCGGCTGTTGGTTCTCCTATTTACACTACGCGAAAAAAAGAATGAATACCCATTGCCTCCTCGTCGGTACCTGTGAGCTTTCGGCTGTAAAATCATGGTCTAGACGATTTCACGTATCACTTGTAGTCATCTAATCCGCGAAAAACACTCTTAAGTGAAAGATGAAGGTAAACTGGCCAGGGTCCTTCTTTTAGAAAATTCAGAATAAGCGCCACTTGTGTCATATACTTTTCGACAGATAAATGAAGAGCATATCTCAAAAAAACGGAAGCTGCTATCGGAAAAACTTAAGGCGAAAAATGACAACGGCAAATTAAAGCTTCTTACTTTAGGATTAATGAAGATACATCCGTTTGATATCGCTTCTAAAGCCAAAGCTTCTTCGTAAGGTGATCCCAGACCTATAAGTAACTGAAAGCGATTTTTTAGATTAGCTACTGTACAAAAAAAAGCAGGAAGTTTTACGTTTTGTTTAATCTCCAGACCAAGAGCTTCTTGTTTAACAAAGAGATTTGCCACGTTTATAGGTTCCAAGCAGCTCCTTTCAATTAAGAGGGATTTTAGCTACACGAGAGTAATATGAGGATAATTGCCTAAATTCAAAGCGAGAGGGGCTGGGTCGAGTACGTTTATTATGGGATAAGCAACACGAGTCCCACATAGTCAGAAAGAGCACATTGATGTTAGGAACATTCTCAAGTTTGGTGTTTATCGGGCCTATATTGAACGAGATAGAGCCATTCAAAGACTCCAAATTTTAATAAGAAATACATAGACGTCTAGACTGCGAGCAGTCTCTCTTTTTCTTCAGATTTAGTAAGGGGAGTGCACGCACGCGCGAGCGTTGAGCGGCGAAGCCGCGAGACGCAAGAAACGAGGGCGGCAGCCGCGCGTGGTCATTTGCGTGTCTCGGGCGTTTTGCTCGACGGACCAAGGAAAAAGACAGACTGCTCGTAGTCTAATAGACGTCCGGACGGTGTGTCCGGTATTAAATCAGTATATCTCTTATATAATTTTGAAGTGGGAGTTTTAAAGAAGGGTTTGAAGACAAAAGCCCGTTTGACATGTATATCATATCTCGGATATGCATGCTTCTACGTAAGACGGTCACTAAGCCATTATATGAAACCTTGGTCCTAGGGCTTTTTTTCTTAGAAATTATCATTATATGTTGGTCATCACAAAGTGTCATCCAATATAAAAAGTCACCAAAACACACATAATTCTGTCAAATATGAAGTAATATAATAACAATGGTCCAGGCAAGTATATAGGAAGGAGAGGCTCTTGTATAGCAGTTATCTACTCGTGATAAGCGGATTACTGACTTGGGCATCACGCACTTCCCCTCCACCCTACCTTCTGTGTATCACTCCTACACACTCCAATTGTCAAATAAGATCAATTAGCATTACGAATGAATACGGATGAGATCTGTGAGAGTGACTGCGGCTGGATGGGTTTAACTAAGTTGAACAAGGTTGAATTTCGTGCCATGTAGTAAGAAGATCTCGAATTATCATAATCTTGCGGCCGGAAGATCTTGAATTTTAAACATATTGTTAGAACGATCTTCAAGTTTCAACACCCTTAAAGCACGAAATGGAATTTTCAACGTGTTGCCAGTAAGAGCTTGAATTTTCTTCGAACATGAAGGTGGAAGAATTGTTGTCGTTTCATATCGAACCCCTTTTTTCCTCAGTCTTGTACCAAGTTCTCCCACGGCCAAGACAGAGTGAGATCTGGGTACGAGATGAGTTTTACCTTGGACCTTTGAAGCAGTTGACCTTTAGCGGTGGAGTTTATATTGCCATGGTTGATTATAAACGGCAGATCCATTTTCCCTTCCTCTGCGGACTAAACAAAGAAGACTTGCATTGCAAGCAGATTCTCACGGGATTCCACATATTCATGTTTTATATTTTAACATATTTTAATATGAATGTATTATATAGAATTTTTAATATTATCTTAAAAATCAGTTTTTGACTTATTATCTAGGATTCATTTGTAATTTTCAAGTATTGTAAAGTTTTTGTAAATAATTGCGTAATTCAGCCTTTGGCTGCGATGCAGTTTTAATAAATAAACTATCTATCTATCTATCTATCTATCTATCTATCTAAGGCAATAAGGGAGAGAAGACGAGGTAACGAAAGGAAACCTCTTGATCTCTCTTTGACCTTGAATGAAGACTTAAGTGTCGATTCCAGAAGATAAGAAATAAAAAGAGGATGGTTTATCCACTTACCACGGCAGCGTGTATTCTGATGTATTTGTAAATCGCTCTTAAGAAATGCTTGTGAGCCTAGGGAGAACAGTAGAATGAAACATTAACTACGTTTTTGATAAGTGCATAATATTTCTTAAGCGGTCATGAAAAAATTTTTGAAAAATAAAAATAAAATTCAACGGAGGTAAAAGAAAACTAGGAGTTCACGAATAAGAAAACCAAGTCCAGGATGTATATCAGCCTTTTTTCAACAAACTGAGACTTCGACATAACTTGAAAGATGTAAGTAAAATCAAGTTTCAGCTGGGTATTACACTCATGGCTTTTGGCGTAGTGAAATATCAAAGCACTTTTCATCCAAGCATTTTCCCTTTATTGATTCTCATAATCTTTTCTCTTGATGTTGTAACTGATATTGTTGGGAGAAATTTGATGCTGATCACTCTCGGGACTTAAAAGGCTAAACAAACCCCTTTGTTACTTACACTGAATTGCTTTACGCCTCCAACAGCAAAAGCCATTGATGTTTTCTTTGGTACAGTCTCATTTTGTGGATGTTTCACAGCAAATCCAAGGAAAGAGTTGTCTACCGATAACGCTAGTAGAGTTTAAAGATAAATAAAGTGCCAATAAGAAGTGTTAGAAAACTCAATAAAACATCAAACTTCGACGGGCGCAGAAGAACGCGATAAGTTTTGATTCTTTTTCTGGTTATTTGAACGTCCACTATCTAACTTAGAGAACAAACTTTTCTTGTGTTAATTTTGGGAGCAGAAATAAAAGCAAATAGGAAGCGAGACAATGTTACGGTGAGGCAGGTGTCACTCTTTCCCAGATGCCTCTATGGCCAGAAAAACAGGAAGCCCAGGCTGTCATGGAACGTGCATGCTTCCCACGACACGAGGGGCACCGGGTAAAAGCAAGGAAGAACACCTCATAGTGCAACTCACGGATCAATTTAGGTTTCTGGGAGACTGCCCACCTACCCCTCCTCTAAGCTAACATCAACACTTACTTCTCACTTAGGGCAAAATGATGGCTTAGGGGAGAGGTAGGTGGGCAGTTTCCCAGAAACCTAAATAGGCCATTTCCGAGTTCCAAAAAAAATCTCACTTTCAAAGCGAGGCTAAGCGCGAAGCCATTAATATGAAAATGATTTTTAATTATGATGCAAATAAAACTCATTTTCACAACAAAGGTTTCGCACTTAGCCTCGTTTTGAAAGTGAGATTTTTTGGAACTTGGAAATGGCCTATTGATCCCAACTCACGATATTTGGTAAGAAACTGTTTGAGGTTTAGATTCCAGTTCCCTTGGTGAGATCGCTCGCCCATGATTGGTCCTGTGTAATCTCTGCAGTTAAACTCGGCGTCCATTCCAAACGGGGCCAGAACACGAAGACGACAGCTAAAAAGTTAATAAACAATCATGCGGTCGTTAATCATATTTCACAGAAGGCGAACCATATCTAGACTAAAAGTAGTCCGTCATTTTCTTAAGAAATCAATACTCGTCAATGAATACCCGAGAGTGGTGACGTTCACACACGCACTCTTTGTCCACCACTATTGACCTTGAAAAAATTAAGCTACTTCTTTGGCCAATATGCATGCGCAAGGCCATGCATTGGCCATAGCATCCAGCGTATGCTTACTAGTAAGTACGCATACGCACATCTATGTTACCACGGCCTTGGGAGGTATGGATGGAGAAGTCGCTCTTGTTGGATCTCGCGAGTGTGGCAGACTCTGAGGCTGGCCGGTAGCAGACCGGTGCGCCTTAACAACATGAACATATAACAGCGGAGATGATGTGACTTTCAGTTCTTACCTATACTTAGACCACACAAGAGACAGTGTTCCTGGGTCTGGTGCTGAGGTCACTAGCTGTTGAAGTCCTGGCAGGTCAATGTACACCAGATCAAATCCAGAATCTCCTTTCTCACAGCCGCGGTGAGCAAACTGACTACCCTCTGTCAATAAACTGCAAAAACAGTCGGAAAGTTTTTATTTTATTTGGCACTAGACTAGCAAATACTGCTCAGCAGTATAATCAACCTCCTTTTCATTCTTCTTCCGGGCGCCTCCGTTTCGTCTGGTCTCGAGGATGCCACGAATCAAAATCCGACGTTTCTTTCATGTACTGGCCTTGATGTTTGTAATCACTGCGCATGCGCTGGCTACCGAATATAATAAAAAATCTGAACATCTAGCGTCGGTTGCAACAAAAACACTCATGTCGCCGATAAATATTTGCAAATTTTATCCCCCTTAATAGTATGACAACCCCCTCCCCTTTCCTGAGACGCCTGGCTAGAAGGAAGGAATGAAAAGTAGGTATCTCAGTTGGGATTCTGTCTTTCATTAGTTAGCCGACTTGCCTGATTTTAAGTCAATATGAAGGAAAGCATTGTATCAGGTGGACTGCCCACACCTCGTTAAGAGTAGCTAAGAGTATGTCGCCAGACTGGGTTGATAGTTGGAATTTATATGTACCTGAGTAATTCCACACGGTCGGTCTTAACATTGACGTCATGTCCAAGAACATAAAGAGAGGCAAGAAGATCACTCCATTGGAGCAGCTCATCTGTCAGCTTAGTTTGGTTTTTAGGAGCGTCCATTAGCAGGCCAATAAATAGCAAAATCTGAAATAAATACAGTGCAGTTGAACTTTCCGTAAGCGACGACGCCAAATGCGAAGATCAAAAAGTGGTGGCTTACGAGAACTGAACCACAGGGAGTGTCTTAAGAGAAGAGGTTTGGACAAATCTACTTTTTGCAAGATTTTCACATACTCTAAGTAGCATAGTATATACAGCAAACATACAGATCAGACCAAGTGTCAACCCCAAAATTGGTCGCAGTCACTTACGAGAGATTCTTACTATAGGGGTTTGACAGAGAAAATTTTGGTGTCTTGTATAGGTGGTTGGTTATCCGGGGTGGTCGGTTCTCAGAGGTGGTCTTACATGGATATTCGATAGTGCTTTGAATATTCACAATAAGCCTGCGCAAGCAAGGATGAGCCTCACGTATTTCAACGCCTATTATACTGCGATGATGTTCAATATTCTCCAGAAACTAAATCGTTATCTCTTTTGGGACGGTAACGCAGGTTCCTTATTTCCCCTTAGCTACCAATTTGCAGCTAAGCGTCTAAAACAGATCGTATAAATGGATTCACATCCAGTAACCAGTGTTATCAATGAGAGTTACAATGTACCTTCTTCTCACTGCGCATGTCAATATTGTCTTTGCTCCGCATGAAATGGAGGCTGTCTTGCCAGTAAGACCACATGCTTGATATCCGCGATCTGATTGGCTGAGATCCAGGTATTGAGTTTAACTTGGAGAGCAGTTTATCAGAGTTATTCTGTAGTACTGCCTAAGACAAAAAACGAAATTTTTCATACATAAACATGAAGGCTATAACGGCTAGAACTCTGAGAATGAACACATGAGGATCATTTGCAAGTGAAGTTTACCTTTTGTCTTCTTCGTTCTTTCTTTTTCATGTATTTTCGCCAAGTTAACCGTGGACACCACGACTCCACCTAGGAAAAAAATAAAAGTAAATATAAGAAAAAATAAGAGTTAAAAGACAATAACTTTTGTGACAAGGCCCTGAGACAGAAGCAGTCGTAACCGCTTGCAGTTAAAGAAGACTTACCTCGCTGAGATATATAACCAGGGAGCAAGTCCTACCGTCTACGCCATATTCCATGTAACATGGGTTCTTTTGCCAATTGTTTCTTAGCAGCTTAAAGTAAAAACGTCAAACTAATCGTTAGTTTGTTGACAAAGAAAAAAAAAATTACATGTAAAACGTTAAGCTGAAGCGATGCCTCAAAGTAATCGTTTGCTGGTACATTTGTATCCTTAAAACCTACTTACCTCCACTCTGTTTTCGCAGTCCGGATAGGATTTATCTTCTGGTATTTCACAATCCACTTCGTCCTCACCTGTTGTGCATTTGAAAGAATATTTTAACTCGCTTATGGTAACATATTCTGTCAGTATAAGCTGTGCTCACATTGTGGGTGGCTCATTCTAAAATGATCTGCGATTAGAAAAGGTTTTAACGGAGCAAATCTCAACAGTGGAATTGCACGTATTTTAAGCATCCTACTGAGGAACAGCTTAGGACAGTTAAATATTTGCTGAAGCAACCGACAAATGTTTGGGTTCGGTGCTCTAAATCCCAGTCCCCACTCCTGAATATTTACTTCGTCTCACTGGGTTCCAGTCGTCGCAGCTTCTCATTAGGGAGCTTTAGCATCGACGACGGCGACGGCAGCGAAAACGTCACTTTTAAAATGATAACTTCGCGCCTTTTCGAACTTTTTCGCGTTAATTCCAGTTCACTGAAAATGTGAAATGTGGGCGAGTTTCCCTGGAGTTGATTTCTTGGCGACCGGACTCAAGTTTAGAAAGAGAAAGAAAAATTCGTCGTTCCTTGTTTACGTTCTCCATAAAACGTGAAATTAGGCATTTTGACCTCGTAGTCGTGCAGTGACGGCAAAGAAATGTACAAAAAAGTGTGATGCACGTGCAAAGTTGTTGTCTTGCTAATTAAACCTATTGCTGTTTTGCCGCTCTAGTTACTTCCGCTACGGTCCGATTGACCTGTTCACACTGCGGCGAAGAGTGGCACAAACCTATCCGATATGAGACGATCCCAAGGTCAGAGCAGCTTCGCTTCGTTACAGAAATCGAGCCGAGATCACCGTTCTTATGTGTGAGCAAAAGCTCTATCTGGTATAGTTTTCGTGAGGGCGCAAAGCTATATATCCGGTATAATGCGGACATAGCATTCAATTCTCAGTTGTACCATCTAAACTCAGAGAACTCTTGTTTGGTACAACCATTGAAAACTACTCTTCTACCTGAGTTCGACGCGAAAGGAGATAAAGCGAAGCGATGAACTTTCAGGAAGACTGGGGTAAAGTAAGTGTAGGTTCTCATTCTCGAATTAAACTTTCTTGGGAGTTTGCTTTTTCTTCACCGCGAGTTTTAATATTGTCCTTTAGGTAGAAATTAACTGAATTTTGTCATTGACAGAATATTGAAACCGCAGTCAACTGATAAGACTACTGCGCTGGCGATCTGTAAAACATCTTTACTGACCTTCAATCTTTTCCAAGTAAAGCTCTTCTTGTAATCGTAAAGACTCTCTTTTATTTTCTCCTCCGCCAAACTTCACGAGCTTAAGACCTTCAAAGTACTTTCTTCCCTGCTCTATGTCCAAAATAAGATGAGCAGCTACTAAGAATAAAATCCACAGCCCCGCTAAAACCAGTAGCGTACAAATAACACTCCGTACACTGCCGAAAGACATGTTAGTATACCCTAAAACTGAAAAGCACGGGAGTCCACAGAAGCAAGGAGCAGTACAAGTGTAGCTATCAATACACTTTGACAAAATTAATATTCATTTCCCAAGTTTGGCTACTTAAAGCAAAGCGTAGCACAAATTTCCATAAGTAATTGAGACTGAGAAAAGACATTTTTCTCACTATCTCAGCAGTTGCTAAGAAACTTCAATTTAGCGCGGAGTTTTAAGGCCAGACGTTTTGTCAGCCCTGTTTGGCCGGAAACGATGCGCTGGCAAACAACAAACTTGACACCATTTTCATCTATTCGATATCCTTTTGGTAGCCTTTTACCGAAATATACTTTCTTTTTTGTTTGTACTCTGTAATTGATTTGGAAACGATCTGTTGGCAAACACAAGAATGGATGATGATCGTTTCCCAAATCTCTGTTCCCTCTGAGTTTTTGAGCTAAATACCTCACGTTAAGCGTTGTCAACCTGTTTAAAGAGCGATCTTTTTGGACAGACATGATAGCCAAATTGCTTTATAGTGCAATTACTATCCCTGAAACTTTGAATATAAGGAAAAAGGTCCAAAACATTCTCTCTTGACTAATCTTTCACTATTCTAAAGGGAACTTTTAGAAAACCGACAAATCCGTCAATGCCACCTAATTTAGCAACTAACACTTCAAACTGGAAGTTCATGTGCAATCTAAGGGCATTAATGTGAGCGATATCCTCGAAACTCTCAAAATAAGAAAAAAGCTCCAAAACATTCTCTCTTGACTAATCCTTCAATATTCTAAAGGGAACTTTTAGAAAACCGACAAATCCGTTAATGCCGCCTAATTTAGAGAAAAAGGATTTCTGCCGACCAGCTAACGCTTCAAACTGGAAGTTCATGTGCCAACAAGAAAACTGTTGTTAGGGTGGATTTCACGGAATTTGTTTCATTTCATACATCTACAGAGAGAATACATGGATATGATACCTATAAATACTTTCAATCAAGAAAGGGGTATAAGTCATGTATATTCTAAACATCCCTGAAATTCGTAAAATCCGCCGAACTTTAGAAAACGATATTAGCCACAACTTAAAACTGGAAGTTTAAAGAGAGTAAGAAACTTGTGGTCACTTGTGGTCACGGGATTGTGCGGAAATTGTTGCCAGATCAGTTCAAGGCCAGCAAGAATAATTCTAGTTAGGGTCGATATCACGGATTTGAAGGAAACTTGTGTCATTTAATACTCCTTTTTTAAAATGTTAACTGTGAAAGAGAAGAATATGTCAATATATCAAATATTAAAAGCTTACAGTTAAAAAACGAAGTATTTTAAATTAATGTCTATTCTTAATCGATATCCGCGATATCCGTCGAATCCGGGGTATTTTAGAAAAAAGAGATTAGCTAGTCAACCGCAACTTAGAACTGGAAGTTCAAAGATCAGCCAAAAACAATCTGTGCTAAGACTGGATTTCACGGATTTTGCGTATAAATGTTCTATAACAATTTGACTTAACCCTATCACTCTTAAGATTGAAAAGCTCATCTCTTTTTTTACTGTTTCTGAGTGTAAGATGTTATATCACGACCCCATATCCTCGTCGACTGTTTTCTTAATTCTCATAACCTGTCTCCTTGAGATTGTGTTAAAATGATCAAGGGAATTCAAATCAATGCTTGTCCCCCCTAGAAATGGCAGGGTTAAAACAGTGTGGTGCAACAGTGAAGGTGGAACAGTGTGGTGGAACAGTGGAACAGTCATGGTGGAACAGTGTGGCGGAACAGTGGAACAGTCATGGTGGAACAGTGGAACAGTGTGGGGGCACAGTGGAACAGTGAAATGGAACAGTGTGGTGGAACAGTGGAACAGTCATGGTGGAACAGTGTGGTGGAACAGTGGAAAAGTCATGGTGAAACACTATGCTAGAACAGTGGAACATTGATGGTATAACAGTGTAATGAAAAGGTGGAACAGTAATGGTGGAACAGTGTGAGGGCACAGTGGAATAGTAAGGTGGAGCAGTGTCGTGGAACAGAGGAACAGTAGAAAAGTCATGGTCGAACAGTGTGGTGGAAAAGTGGAACAGTGAAGGTGGAACAGTGTGGTGGAACAGTGAAACAGTCATGGTGGAACAGTGTGGAGGAACAAGGCAACAGTGATGGTGGAACAATGGGACAGTCATGGTGGAACCGTGTGGTGGAACAGTGAAACAGTCATGGTGGAACAGTGTGGTGGAACAGTGGAACAGTGAAACATTGATGGTGGAACAGCGTAATGAAACAGTGGAAAAGTAATGGTGGAACAGTGTGGGGGCACAGTGGAACAGTAAGGTGGAACAGTAAAACAGTCCTGGTGGAACAGTGTGGTGGAACAGAGGAACAGTCATGGTGCAACAGTGTAGTGGAACAATAGAACAGTCATTGTGGAACAGTGGAACATTGGTGGAGGAACAAGGTAATGAAGCAGTGAAACAGTCATGGTGGAACACTGTGGTGGAACAGTGGAACAGTAAGGTGGAACAGTGTAATGGAACAGTGGAACAGTCATGGTGGAATATTGTGGTGGAACAGTGGAACAGTCATGGTGGAACAGTGTGGTGGAACAGTAGAACAGTCATGGTGGAACAGTGTGGAGGAAAAGTCAAACAGTCATGGTGGAACTGTGGTGGAACAGTGCAAAACTCATGGTGGAACGGTGTGGTGGAACAGTGGAACATTAATGGTGGAACAGTGTTATGAAATAGTGGAACAGTAAGGTGAAACAGTGTGGTGGAACAGTGGAACAGTAATGGTGAAAAAGTGGAACAGTAATTGTGAAACAGTAGAACAGTGATGGTGGAACAGTCGAAAAGTAATGGTGGAACAGCAAAACAGTAATTGTGGAACAGTGCTGTGGAACAGTGGAACAGTGGAACCTTCATGGTGGAACAGTGTAATGAAACAGTGGAACGGTATAGGTGGAACAGTGTGGGGGCACAGTGGAAATGTAAGGTGGAACAGTGGAACAGTCAGGGTAGAACCATGTGGTGGAACAGTAGAACAGTCATGGTGGAACAGTGTGGTGGAACAGTGGAACAGTCATGGTGGAACAGTGTGGTGGAACAGTGGAACATTGATGGTGGAACAGTGTAATGAAATAGTGGAACAGTAAAGTGGAACAGTGTGGTGGAACAGTGAAACAGTCCTGGTGGAACAGTATGGCCGAACAGTGGAAGAGTAATGGTGGAACAGTGGAACAGTAAGGTGGAACAGTGTGGTGGAAGAGAGGAAGAGTCATGGTGGAACAGTAGAACAGTCATGGTGGAACATTGTGGTGGAACAGTGGAACAGTGATGGTGGAACGGTGTGGTGGAACAGTGTGGTGGAACAGTGAAACAGTCATGGTGGAACAGTATGGTGGAACAGTGGAACAGTGGAACAGTGATGGTGGAACAGTGGAACAGTAATGGTAGAACAGTGGAACAGTAAGGTGCAACAGTGTGGTGGAACAAAGGAACAGTCATGGTGGAACAGTAGAACAGTCATGGTGGAACAGTGTGGTGGAAAAGTGGAACAGTGTGGTGGAAAAGTGGAACAGTCATGGTGGAACAGTGTGGTGGAACAGTGGAACATTGGTGGTGGAACAGTGTAATGAAATAGTGGAACAGTAAGGTGGAACAGTGGAACAGTTGTGGTGGAACAGTGTAATGAAATAGTGGAACAGTAAGGTGGAACAGTGTCGTGGAACAGTGGAACAGACATGGTGGGACAGTATGGTGGAACAGTCATGGTGGGACAGTGTGGTGGAACAGTGGAACAGTGGTGATGGGACAGTGGAACAGTAATGGTGGAACAGTGGAACAGTAATTGTGGAACAGTGATGGTGGAACAGTGGAACAGTAATGGTGGAACAGTGGAACAGTAATTGTGGAATAGTGGGGTGGAACAGTGGAACAGTCATGGTGGAACAGTGTGGTGGAACAGTGTGGTGGAACAGTGGAACAGTAATGTTGGGACAGTGGAACAGTAAGGTGGAACAATGTGGTGGAACAGTGGAACAGTCATGGTGGAACAGTGTGGTGGAAAAGTGGAACAGTCATGGTGGAACAGTGTGGTGGAACAGTAGCACAGTCATGGTGGAACAGTGTGGTGGAACAGCTGAACATTGATGGTGGAACAGTGTGATGAAACAGTGGAACAGTAATGGTGGAACAGTGGAACAGTAATTGTTGAACAGTGATGGTGGAACAGTGGAACGGTAATGGTGGAACAGTGGAACAGTAATGGTGGAACAGTGTGGTGGACAGTGGAACAGTGTGGTGGAACAGTGAAACAGTCATGGTGGAACAGTGTGGTGGAACAGTGTGGTGGAACAGTGGAACAGTTATGGTGGAACAGTGTGGTGGACAGTGGAAAAGTCATGGCAGAACACTGTGGTGGAACAGTGGAACATTGATGGTGGAACAGTGTAATGAAACAGTGGAACAGTAATGGTGGAACAGTGTGGGGGCACAGTGGAACAGTAAGGTGGAACAGTGTGGAACAGTGGAACAGTCATGGTGGAACAGTGTGGTGGAAAAGTGGAACAGTCATAATGGAACAGTGTGGTGGAACAGTAAAACAGTCAAGGTGGAACAGTGCGAAGTGTGCATTTTTATTAATAGCCTTGCAGCAACTGAGTTATTTAAAGTACGACTGCTAAAGGACATGAGAAAGATAATCGACATCCTTTCCGACTTAGACTGCAAGGTGATATGTCCAATCTCCATCGACTACAATGATGATGATGATGATGATGATGATGATGATAATGATGACGTTGACTATCGTAAGTAAGTTTAGGAGGCAATACAGCTTTTCAGATAATCCCTTATTGTTTTTGTACCTCAAATATCAGCGGCTTCTGGGCCCGCCTTAGCTTCTAGGTTTGTGGTGTATGGGCAGCTATCATGGCGGCTGATAATAGGGTTTGTTGTCTTATCAGCTTCTTCTTACCAAGAGAGGAACAAGACAGTAATACCAGGCTACTACTTTGGTCGGACTGTTTCTGCAAAACTACATGTATTGTGGCTGAAGACAAAGCTTAAAGCAACGCACATAAACGAAAAAACAGTTTATTCTGAAGCACATAAAACAGAATACCCTGAAGTACCGACTACAACCGTAAGTCTACCATTAAATAAAGAAATGAATGGCATTAAGGAAAAGGTGGAAAAGCAATTCACATTGTCAATATGAAAATGCTTTTTTTGCTAACTAACAAAGTCAAATGAGAGTCCGAAATATATAAACCTTTTCTCTGTTTTCAGTTTAGTAGAGTTTCTACAGAAGAGTGTAACATCTCTTTGTAGACTTCTCAAACTCAAGCTTAGTTTTCAACGTTCCTAGCCTAGTAATGACTGCAACCATGGCAATAATTATCTTTCTCACAACAACTTTTACTACTTCTTGTTCCAATCTCAAGGTGTAGTTTGTGGAAATTTGGTGGGTTTGTATTGACTTTGTAAGATAAGATATACATGTAAGGAATACATGGAAAGTTTGGAACAATAATTCATATCACTGACAAGACATGACTAACACAGACGTACCTACATGAGAATATTCAACGTCAATAAATAATATATAATGTCAACTGTAATAAAACTGTCTTAAAAATACTATTTACAATGTATATGCAGTTGTAAGCCTTTCAGTGTGGATACCATCGGAACAGAGGTTGTCTCTTGTATCAAGGAACTGTTCTCGTCAAGAACTTGGGACTAAATAGCGAGAAACCTATCTAATTCTAGCTTTTTAAAAAACTGTATGGAGTTAATCGGTAAAAAAACTGTTTAGCTGGACAAACTTTTCAAAAGCCTAAAATGGTATTTTTGGAAAATTTTGTTGGTAACTGACAGATACAAGAAATTTTCATGTGATCTGAGTTGAATTCCAAAGCAAATTCGCCTGGACACCAGTTGTGTGGGTTTTCAATTTCCGGATCATAAAATGTTTCTGGGAAACTGCCCAACTACCCCTCTCCGAAGCCAACATTTTTCCCTAGGTGAGAGGTAAGTGTTGATGTTGGCTTAGGGGAGGGGTAGGTGGGCAGTTTCCCAGAAACATATAATGATCGATTTCAGTGGAACTCTGAAGTTTGGTCACTAGACATATAGACTAAACATTTGGAAGTCAAAATACTTGATCCCCACACGTTTGTGTCTCTCTGAGAATTCAGGTAGAATCCACCTTTCATATGTAAGAAAGTTCTTTCCCAAACATCACTATGTCTTAATCATCAGCTAATAGTGGGTTTACATACCACTAATTATTAGCCAAAAGGATCTGCTAGTCCAAGGCTACGATTCATCCTACATGGGTGATTTTTTGGTTCCTCAAATTCTTTCTCCAGATCAGTGTCAAAAATCATAATGTACTAGTACATAAAACCAGCATTACTGCATGGGCTAACATTTACAATGATTGTTATAAAGAGCAGTATTTCTGAGCTAGCCTGTTCTTATCAAGTGCATTCAGTGCCTTTGATAATTCACCATATGTAGCTAACTCCCCTCGCAACTCCACCCAGACCATTAACATCTGAAAGGCTTTCTCTTTTATCCCTGGGAATTGAATATTGTCACTCTGAATTTCCATAATACTTGCATTGGGTATTTTTAGCTTACGTCCAAGATGTTTCCAAAATTGAGTGATTTCCTTCGACAAATCCGTAAGTTCATCCTCAGATGGCTGTTGACTTTCTTTGCTTTCTAATTTTAACTTTTTGGCTGGAGGGTCATCTGTGTAGAGAAAATAACGATGCACCTGTCAGTTTTTCAAATACACCCACTTACAAAACATGGTTACCTCCTTATCTATAGGAAACATCTATATGTCAGCCTCAATAAAGGGTTTTGGTTGAGACCCCCCAGGGGGGTACTCCGGATTTCAAGTGACAGTTATGATCGGATGGGGGCAAAAATCAAAACCCGAAAAAATCCCTTGGGGTTCAAACAAACCCCAAAACGAATCCCTGGACCAAAATTTAACCCCGAAAAAATCCCCATGCCGAATTTGTGAGCCCTAAAAATTTCCAGAAAGCATTAAATGATATAACATGAAAAATAGAAACATTAGTTTTGAATACCCAAAAAAATCCCTACTTAAATCAAACTTCCCCCAAAAAAATACTTGCCAAAATTTTCCTACCCCAAAAAATCCTGAAATCGAAAATTTCAAACCCCAAAAAATTCTTTGATCATCCCTGTCACTTGAAATCCAGAGTACCCCCCGGGGTGAGACCCCATTTTCACCTCTCTGAAGAAATTTCAGTTAACCAACTGCCTTGCTTAAGTGGAAGGTGGGTGCCCGGTATACCCAGGGGCTTCCACTGTGGCCAGCCAGCCCCTAGATAGAAAAACTGCCCCCATGGCTGGCAAATCCCCACAACCCAGCCATGAGCCCCCATTCCAGGCACCCATCACACTGATCAAACAGTGGAAGGAAGAAAAATAGGGATGGGAGGGGGGGGGGGAAGACGCTAAAGGAATAACAGTGGAAGGAAGAAAAATAGGGATGGGAGGGGGGGGGGGAAGACGCTAAATGAACCGCTCCACAGACCACTGCACAAACGCTTGACGAAGAACTCACAGATCCTAGCCGTGTACAAAGCTACCACAAACCATGTGAGCCCGCACTTATGGGATTGACCGCTGGATGCCCGCTACGCTCGTGGGCTGCTTGTCAGCTAAGCTTGTAGACCGCTAAGCTTGTGGACCGCTAGACCGCTTAACTTGTGGACCGCTAAACTTGTGGATCGCTTAACTACTAAGCTTGTGAACCGCTTGACCGCTATGCTTGTGAACCGCTTGACCGCTACACTTGTGAACCGCCTGACTGCTAAGCTTATGAACCACTTGACCGCTAAGCTCTTGGTGGTTAACTTAGTCAAATTACATTTAACCAAATTTTACTGTGCTAAAAAAATTGAATCCCAGCTTGTCCTTTGGGCAAGCAGCTCTCATATTTTTCTTGACCAGGGCCACTTCTTGCTCCTCTTTGTTAATGAATTAGTTTAGAGAATGATTTGCCTGAACCCCTACCTACTGGGCAACTTTCAAAGCTTACTTAGTAAGCTTTAAAAGTGACATGCCCAGCAAAAAAAAATCTTCTAGTATTGGACTACTAGACGGGATTTTTTTTGAGCCCTGAATTTAGAATTCAGATATTGGTTTTTAAGAGCCCCCTCCCCCTCTCCCCTTCAGAATTTCTACTGACTCTCAATGGAGTAGGTACGAACATTTACGGGAACCATGCATAAAAGTGAGGGCCATACAGTAGTGCCAGTAATAAGTGAAATAATTCTTTACACAGTTTTGTAGCTCAAAGATATTTGCCTGAGGAATTTCTAGTGATAAGTTAAATATATTTCTTTTTGCACATTTTTATAGCTAACAGATATTTGCTGGAGGAATCTCCAAAGCAAATTTTTGCAGAGTGAAAAGATGCCAACCTTTTTTGGAATTATTATTGTCCTGAGAACAGTGGATAAATTTACTCTAAGGGGTGGGGTGTTGATGGAGGAACGTTAAAATGCTCTAAGATTGGTCAATGATAAAATACCTTCAAAAATTTCCTTATCCTGGCTGTCAGAGAAACCTCCAGAAGGCTGGGTATCTGTGAAAAAAATAAATAGCAATCAAGATATGCAAGTATAATTATGTATCTAGCCTGACAAAAAAAGATGGCATTCTGCAAATTTTGCAAAGATGGGAGGAATATTGCTTGTTTTAATGGGGTTTCATTAATATAAAGTGATTCATTGTATCAAGGTTCCACCATCCACCAAAATTTCATTAAGTTCAAAGCAACATGAAAACCACAGAACTAAGACACATTTTAGACTGAAACTGTGGCAAAATATGTGTTATTATCAATAAAATTTGTGCCACAAGGTTCGTTCCAGAACATATCTCAGAAGTAACTAAAGTGACATACACATTCCACTATTCAGATGCTGCAAGACTTCACTACACAATGTCCCTTTGTTGTAGCTCAATTCTTCACTCCCCTTGTGATGGATTCCCACCAGCTTCAACCCAACTGTTGTGAGTACAGGGGATCCAGAGGAACCAGTTTCCGTGTCAGCTTTGTAGAAGACGAAAGGTGGTTGAACTCCTAATATTTTGTCTTGGCTGTACTGCTTAGGTTGACCTTTGGGATGCTGAATTACAAAGATTCCATCATCCTTTCTAAGTTCTGGTTCTGGCTCCATAACAATGGGCTGTATGCTTAGGTTCAAATCATCAATCTCTTTTTTGTTGATGCCGACAAATGTGTAGTCTAGTTCCTAGAAATAAACGGTAAGGGTACTTGTTAGAAGTGAAATCATAGGTTATAAATAATAACAATAATATAAATCTAAATAACTGAAGGTTTAATGATATATAGGGACTTTGAGCAACAGAGAAGTCAATGGCAGTGAAAACCTCATGATGAAGAGAAACTTTCCAGATTTTGTCACAATAAAATATTATTAGGTATTATTTCAGCTCACTGATAATTACATACTAGACTGTTCACAGTCCCCTATTTTTCCGTGTGATCATCGAGACCAAGCGCGTCTTACCGTTAATGGCTTGATTTTCAGATGTACCGAGGGGGCGGGCGTCAGGGATTACACCCCGCCCCCTAAGTAGAGGTTAGAATCGGTTCAACTGAAAATCAAGATGGCCACTATTAATGCTAAGACGCGCTCGATCTCGACGATCTCACAGAAAAATAGGGGACTGTGAACAGTCTAATTACATACCAACATTCTGTTTTTCTTCTAAGAGCAGAGCTGAGCAGAGCTCATCTCACAGAAAAAGAGCATTTACGGAGCTGTGTCCCAAAATTAATCAAAATTCTAACAAAGAGAACAGCCACCAAAATGAGCGAAACCTAAAATACCTTATTACAGGAAATTAATGCTCTTTAATCTCAGTAAACTTTCATTTCTGCGAAATGAACTACAATTTTCTCGACCTTAATTTCCATGTTTTGGACCCCCAATTCCAATACACTTCTGACATTCTTGACACCTAAGAAAGAGGGGTATTTTATTAGGGTGGAGATCCACCAGCAACAGTGAAACCATGAAGAACTTCACTGCCGTCGTCCTTGCTTAAGGTCTCTATTAACTTTTTCTGCCTTTAAAATGAGCACTTATTTGAGGAGGGCGCTAAATTCGAGGTTGGGCACTTATTTGAGTAAATACGGTACCCAGTCATCTACTTGTGTCAGATGGCTTTTGTAATGTGAGCATAACTGGATTATGGTCAAAGTGTTATGAGGTTAACGAAGAACTTATGCACACAGGGACCCAGTGCCCACTATAGGTCCTGGCCAAGTACCAGGTCTTAACATTGTCCTCAGGCAGGGATACCTTGCCTAATTATTCTGGTCACTGTCTCATGTTGGTAGGTACTCGACAAAAAAGTTGCGTTCACATTAGTAACTTGTGAGTATCATGCTTGGCATGGTGCCAGCAGGAGAGCACCAAGTGTGAGCAGATAGAAGAAATGTTTCACTTTCACTATTGCTTGCTAAATAAACTCACTTTGTTTGTTCGAAAGATTACTTCAGGTCTTAATTTAACTCTCTGACCGCCGCTCGCGTCGTCATAACCAAAAGTAGCAAATGCATTTTCAGCTTCACCGATTGAATTCAACACGTGGTTATTCGTGAAGATCCCAAAAATTTCGCCGAACCCATCCAATGTTAGCTTTGAATAGAAACCAGTTCCTCTCCTGCAATTTCACAAAGAATACACATATTTTAAGCATTCCCTAACACAGATCTTGTACAGTGTGTGAAGATCAGTTAAAACAACATTAAACAAGTTTACTGCAAAGTAGAACAGCTCACTTTTGACGATCTTTCTTCCTCGAGTTTTTGATTACCGTGATCACGGTCTGTATGTAACATACGGCCATGACTCTTTTAAAGAGCGTTTGAGTGCTCTGAAAACCATCTCCGTCGCTGAGGACTACTTCTTGTCGTTCCATAGGTGTCAAGTACTGAAAAATAAACCCAAACGGACGCCGAATTTGGCGAAAATTTGAAAAACTTTGTTCATCTTCGTCACGCCATTTTCATATAAATCTCCCGCGCCAGCTGTCTATTCCCAGTCCCTCGCGTAAATTTCGAGCTTTTTGTAAGTGGCCTGTTGACGAGCTGATCGTATATCGCCTCTTATATCGCCTCTTATATCGCCTAAACGAATAATCGTCCCTCCCCTGCCCCTCTCGCCATCTTCTCTTCCATTTATCCTCTCCCTGTCAAGTTCAAGTGCAATGAGATTCAGCAAAACTTATCAGTGACGATTCAAGCTCTGAAAATTAATCATATTTGACGTGATTATTTTTTGAGTTAATAGCAAAATATTGAGGGCACGACTTCCAGTGAGCAATAGTTTAAATAATCGCCTCCGTCGAATATTCGCCCCCTGTCTGTACGAAGAAAAGAAATAATCGCCCCCGGCTATTATTTGAGGAAATACGGTATTCCAGGTTAAAAAAATGATAAGATGAGACAAATTCGTACCTTCAAGATGTAAGCAAAAAAATATTTAATAACTGAGAACAGGAGTCCGTTCCCCCTCTGAGAGAAGTTAGAACCTCTGGTGCAGCATAATATACAGTACCACAAGAAAGTGCTGCTTTTTATTATTTTCTGTTGAATGTATTTTTGTGCCTGTTACAGCTATATGCATGTTAGTTTTCTCACGTTTTTCTTTTTGTCTCCTGTCAAATTTCCGCCTTTTTTTAGATAGCCATGATACAGCCCAAGAGAACTCATTTTACAGCAAGGTTGTGCTCTTAGCTCTCACACTCACATGGCCTCATGGAGCACGTGATATCTTGAGTTACAATTCCACCGGGCTGCAACGCTACTAGGCTTCTGTACTGTTACCAGGCTTTACAACAAACAAAACGAATTAAATTAGAGGTTTTTTAAAAGGCTGCTAAAATTCTTCTTTTCTAGTGCAAACTAGACTGCAAAACAGTCAGTTTTTTTTCTCACAATCAGTAAAGAAGTTCCAGACCTTTTGTTTCACTGCTTGGTGCGTACTTGAATACGCCAAAATGCGGACTGTTTTGCAGTCTACGTGCAAACCAATTGCCGTTTGTGTATACAGCTGTAAGGCGCAAAATAATGTAAATGATAATCGCGATCGGCAGTGAAAAACTCGTCAGAGAAGGTTCAAGCGCCAGAAGCGCTCTTGACTGCCACTCTAACTGAAACGTTTTAGTCCGGCATCCTTGAAAAGTCAATGCTAAAACCGTGTCCACCGAATAAACACTCAAATAAAGGACGAACAGTAAATTAAAAGAGGTGTCGGTTATTAACTTTTTGCGTTAACTTTAATTTTTTGTCTGTGTATTTATAATTGATGGGTACGTGCCTTCCTTCTTTGTTTGTATTTGTACAGGGGAAAGTTTCCGCATTAATCTCAAGTCTCTCCATTTACTTTTCTGTGCTAAATTATATCTAGCTGATCGTATCTCTGGTTTAGGAGGAGCGAGATTAAATTAAATTACCATATTAAGAAAAACTTTCTTGTAGTTTCAATGATCTTAAACATGTTAAGATACTTCATGGCATCCACAAGCTGTCTGCTAAGAAGCAACTTTTCTATTATTAAAAACACTGATCATATAAATTTATTTTTAACCAAATATATATGAGGCTATACAAAGAGAAGAATAAACAAACTTCAGCCGTTGTACAAAAAACGTTAATTAATTCAGAATATTTACTTGGCCAGTTTCAGAGGCGTTGTAATAATCCACAGTACCAAGAGAGGATAAAGCTGCAAATTATTTTGACCATTGCCAAAAAAGCAGCACCTAGAATGGAAAACAGCACAGACCACCCGACACAAGGATAAATTCGCCATTAGCCAGAAAAGCTTTCTTAATTCTGTGCATAATATTTAATTTTCTATCACCGATTTGGGTCCGTTTTATTGTAGATATTAATATAGGGCTTTAAGAAATTTCAAAAATTGGCGTTTTTTTAATATCACAATAGTTCTTTGGATTTAAATTACTATCAGACCTAGAAGACCAAAAGGAAAAATACTTTGATCTTATTATATCACATTAAAAGACATTCATAAAAAATTAATTGCTTTGGTATTATATGAAAAAAAATATAAACCCTGGATTTTAACCGAAAATTTTAATGTGTTTCGAGGGGTCCACAAGTTTGGCGTTATAAAAACAGTTGCAACTTATCACCCTGACTTTATGGCGTTTTCTAGGCAATAAAAAGTGCTTTAAATTGTGTATTTATGAGCTTTGACTAAATTTTATCATCGTGTGTTCTTCGTAAAAGGATCCAGGCTTGGTGTCAAAGAGGAAAACTGAATAAGTTTCCCATTCTTTAGTAGTCAAGTCATGCTTATACTACCTTAATTTCAGGCTTTTTGACCTTTTTAAATATCAAGAAAAGTTGAATTCTAAGTTTCACTTTCCTTTTTTCCCCTTTCTTTGTTTTTCCTGAAATCGCCAGACTTTTCCTTAACTATCAAAGTAGTCTTCACGTTCCTGACCAGCCTGGCATTTATTGTGTCCTTCTTCGGTAACTCGATGGTGATCTATATAATCAGAAAGGATCAGCTATTGAAGTCCACTACATTCCTTCTAATACTCAACATGGCCTGTGGAGACTTGGTAACGACTTCAATGACGTCCCCGCCATTAATCAAGTTCTTGTTTGTTGGATTAGTTTGGATTCCTGGGACTTTTGGAGGTTTGCTATGCAAGCTGAATTTCTATCTCGTTTTGGTCGCTCTCCTGGGCTGTAGTTTTAGCCTGGTTGGGATACAAACAGATCGCTTTTTGGCTGTGATCCGACCACTGAAGCACCAACCTTGGTCCAAATTCACAAAGGTTATTATTCCCGCAATATGGCTCGCGGCTATTTTACTTCCCATACACATGTGGCACGAAATTGGCGGTAAAAGTTCCTCGAGTTCAAGACTGAACATCTCAGTCTGCGACGTAGAACAAGTTCCATTAAGTATGGTGATCACGCTGAGCATATGCTTTCTACTTCCATTCACAGTGATGCTAATACTTTACCCAATCATCATCTATCATCTGTGGACAAGGCACGTTCCTGGAGAACCGAGCGCTTTGCAACAACAGAAAGCAAATCGTATGGCACGGAAAATCACCAAAATGATGATTGCTGTTGTACTTTCTTTCTTTATCTGTTGGGCACCGCAATTTATTTTCGTCTGGATACATCCTCTGGCTAGAGAGCTGGCACGCACTTTACCCATCTGGTTAATTCCATTTATCCTTTGGCTACAAGTGCTTAACTCTGCCATGAATCCTGTTCTCTATGCGATCTTTAGCGAACCTTTTAGACTTGGCTTCAGGAAAGTTATATTTCGTAACATTTTACCGGGACGCAACGCACAAGTCGTGCAAAGTGCACATCAAAACGTTCATCAAAGGTATCAGAATCCAATTCAAAACATAGCACTTGTAAGATTTCATAATAGCGCAGGCCTGCAGAGATAAATTTATGTCTACATCAGTAAAAGGTGCAACCACCGTGTTGAGAGTTCAAGGCCCCGGTGTCCGATTTTTAGGCCCCTGGACTCGAACCGTGCCGTCCCTTGTTTTTTTTTTTAAGTCCGAAGTGTAAATAGTGAACGTGAAGCCATCGAGTTACGAATACAGGCAGTTCTTGCAGTTCTGGAGTGCTGCTATTTAGGCAAAGAAATATTAAATTATTTCACCTTTTTGAAATTTAATTGGTTGATCAAAGGAAGATTTTTGCTTTTCTCTTGTGCACAGAGCTGCGGAACGGATTTAGAGATCGTCTATGTATTACGTAGGGATGCTCTGGAAATAACACGCAGCAGTTCGCAAAACTATATGACAGACTGCCACATTGCGATCGAAGTTCCCCTGAAATGAGGAACCGTCGTTTTATTCCGCGGCTGCTGGACAAGCTGTATCACTTTAGTAGTTAATGGGATAGCTATACCCCACAAAGGCTGCCCGGCGCCTAATCAGCAAGTGATAGGTAAATCGTATTAATAACCTGAAGACGAGACGAGTGCCGGCGAGAAATTCGAAAAACAAAACAAACATGGGAAAACACAATATTTATAACTTTCGCGCCTACCATAGATTTGGCAACCCTTAAAGCTGTATCGCTGCAGTTAAAAGGGATGCTTATGATGTAGAAAACACAGCAGGCAAGGCAAGACAACGCCATCCGAGCCGCCAGAATTTATCCCGCTTTCATCGCGGTAACCGGGCTGAAATGTTCATATGGCAAAATTTTTAGCCCGCTTACCAAGATCCCGGTTGGAAAAACCGAGATCTCGGGAACCGAGCCTGCCCACCCTCTCATATGAACACATCGAAAATTTTACAAAGGATTTAGAGGAGAGGCGGGATCTTGGAAATCGGACCAGCCCGGTCAACCAGGCCCATGTGAAGAGGCCCTAAGCATGGTCTGGCGCTGTAGCAAGGTTTGTAATATATAGATTTAGCCAGGGCTAAAAGCGAAGCTCTGGTTAATAATACTTATAAACAAAAAAAATTAAATCGTGTAATGCTAAACGCGGACAGCAATGAAAATGGCATCAAGATCAATAGATCTAACTAGCAAAAAAACAAATTGCACGTGCAGTACACTTTTTTTCTAATTAGCAAAAAAAAACAAATTTGCACGTGCAGCACGCCTTTGTCTTTCTTTGCCGTTGTTTTGCACAACTACAACGCTGTTTTGTAGGGCTAAAACGTCGAACTTCTTAGTTACACATTATTTTTATGGAGGAATTGTCGTATGTGCTTACCCAATATTTTGTCTCTTGTGTTCATCTTCGCTCTTGTTTTTCACTGCCACTCATTTTCACCTTGCGGGCCGCTAGCATTTCTCATTAGGGCCATTTATACGAGGAAAAATAAGACGCGTCTTACATAAGACGCGAACTTATCGTATAAACGGCACATTTCGTCTAAAATAAGACGCGACTTAGCTAAGACGCGTCTTATTTTAGAACAGCCCTTGACACCTGTTCTTAGATAAGACGCGTCTTAGATAAGACGAGAAAAAACTTCGTATAAATGACCTTCGCGTCTTACATAAAACACGAACGCATAGTACGCATGGGTTAATTTTTGGCTGGAAAATTATCGCTTGCTCCGCGGTGGATTGGCAGGCCACTGGCGAGGAAAAATTGTTTACAAATTACAACGCGTTTTCGTTTGCTTGTCTATTCTGCTTTATGTTTTTCTTCGATCAAATACAATGAGCACGCCGTTAAAGGTAAAAAGAAACACTTGGTCCGTCGCGGAGGAAAAATATTTTTTGATATTATGTAAGGAGAAGGCGACAAATGCGTGACATCTGCTGTTGTAAGTAGACCCTTTTAACTTTAAACTATCACAATTTATATTTACTAATCAAATTGCTATCTTCGTATTATAAACTTACACTTTAAAATACGGAAGACTAAGATAAGAAATGCTCGTATAAATGGTCCAGTTCGCGTCCTATTTTTAAAGAAGCGTCTTACTTTTCCTGGTATAAATGGCCCTATTGTCTCACCGCCGCTTTGAAGTTTCATGTTTTTCTTCCTACAACATTTGTCTCTTTTGTTTTCAATCACTCGCTCTAGCTCTTTCTCTGTTATCCTCGTGAGTGTAAACATCAAAAATAACGTCGAAAAAGACGAGACTTTGTTGTTGTTTTTTCTTTCTAAAAGTCCGGGCGGCCATTCGATTTCTTTCCAAATAAAACCTTGAGTTGCATTTCTCTTGCCATACCTGTTGATTGAATTATTTTACATTGGTATCCCTGTGGTGCGGACGGACTCTCGGACGGTCGGGTGGTCGACCGCTGTACGGTCACGTGATTATCAAATTTTCTCGGATGGGTAGTTTACCACATTTTCTTACCTATGGTGCTCCGCTGCACACGCGAGAGCTCCGCTATAACTAGCCAATTGTTTGAAAACGAACCGCTAGCGAAATTAGCAGTCATTTGAGTGAAAAAGGCTCAAGCAGGGTTCTGCGCCCAATAAGCTAACAAACACACAAGCATAAGGAAAGGAAAGGGAAGAAAAAGAAAGAGCAAGGAGAAAGAAAGTGTCGACGTAGAACTTGACGGGGACTAGCACAGTTTCACTGACAAACCAGAATTTAACTTCTACTGATTTATCTTCTTTGTTTAATTGCCAATCCTAGTTCATTACAGTTCAAGCTTCAGCTAAAACTCTCTACAGTCTAAGCTAAGTTTCTTGATGATGATGATGGTGATGATGATGATGATGACGATGATGATGATAATAATAATAATAACAATGATAATAATGATAATGATAATGATAATACCAATTCATACCTTCAGGATAAAAGCAAAGAAATATTGAATGACAGAGAACCTGCGCCCATGCCCCCGCTGAGAAGTTAGAAACCCTGGTGCAGCATAATATACAGTACCACAAGAAAGTGCTGCTTTTTATTATTTTGCGTTGAACGTATTTTTGTGCCTGTTGCAGCTATATGCACCTTAGTTTTCGCACGTGTTTCTCTTTTGTCTCCTGTCAAATTTGCGCCTTTTTCTAGATAGCTATGATACAGCCCAAGCTAGCATACAAACATAACTCCTTTTTTCAGCAAGGTTGTACTCTTCAACCTATTTTGAAAGCAAGGGGTATATTTATTCTGTGGTGATCTCACAGCTCTCACAGTTAACTCACATGGTCTAAGCTAGCTATGTCTTGAGTTACAAGTCCGGCTGCAACGCTACTAGGCTATTGTACTCTTACGAGGCTTCGAGGGATTTATGGGGAAAACAACAAACAAAACGAATGAAATTAGAGGTTTTAAAAAAGCTGCTAAACTTCTTCTATTCTAACCCAAGCAAACTGCAATTTATGTACAGCCATTTCGAGAAAGGTTGTCGGAAAAAATGTGCACGCGACAATCCCGAAAGGTAATATGGGATATGATCAATACGCTGTTCGCCATTTTTATTTGTAAATATTTATGCTCCAAACAAGGTTCAAGACCAATGCCGTTTTTTTGATAAGTTAAACAAAAATATTGAAGACCGTGTCGTTAATGAAGAGCTTAGAATTATTCTCGGGGGAGACTTTAATGTAACACTCGACTCTGATCTTGACTGTTCCGGTGGTAGACCTTTTAGAAAAGATTCTGTAAAACACATACAAGACTTATGCCTGGATTTTGATTTGGTTGACATTTGGCGCATACGAAATCCGGACTCTAAACGCTTTACGTGGCGTCAAAGAAATCCTTTCATTCAAAGAAGACTTGATTATTGGCTGATTAGCGATGTATGCCAAGACGACATTGAGAAGTCCGATATCATTCCTTCGATAAATTCAGA